TTGAAATACAAATTCTGTGAAGTTTAAAAAGTATTTATTAGTGAAAAATTACATTTTTTACACAAGAATAAAGTATTACAATGTTTCATGAAGTTCACATATGGGATTCGAAAACAGGTAACATCTATTTAGCAAACAATAGTACGTGCCAACAGTATATTAAGTTTAAGGTAGCATAAAAAATTATGATAAATTGAATAAATACAAAACAAACAAAAATGAAACAGTCACCTTTTATTTACTTTCTTGATAGACAGTCACTGGAACCACCACACATGTCCGATGATAGTCAATTACGCCGGGCAATCCACTTGATTTTACATCGTCTTTATACATCTTATATAAACATATATAAACACGATCAACTTTCAAAACGTTTTGTTTTATCTATGTATTCAGAAACTTTATGAAATATTTACATATTGTCTTTGTCAGACTTTAAACTGTCCCCATATGAGATAATATTAAGATTAAAACAAAAGACTGTCCTGAGAGGTCCCCTTCGAATTTCATTATATTTTGGACTTTTGAAGAAGTAATGAGAGCTAGTTTCTACGTGACCATAGGAACACAGTGCGTTTTCGATGAGATCATCAAGATGGTCCCTTAGAACACTACTCTGGAGTCTTGCTAAATATATCTGTTCTCTTCTACAGCCTTATTGAAAATACAAAGGTATTTCATTAATATTTTGAGAGTGATACGTCTTAAAACCCCATTTTGATTGATTTAAACGAATGTCGTCTGGAATATTATTTAAAGGTTTATAACGGCTGGTATAAATGACTTTTTGTTTTTTTTTTGTTTTGCATAATATAGTTTGTAAATTTGAGGACCCCCTAATCCTGTGGTCGTGTAGATCTAGCTTCTGATTTGGAACTAATACAGGAAGGTAATTAGGACAATCTAAGTGAAACATTTGGTGACATTTTTTTAACTTATGTTTATTATGCCGAGACTGGAGAGTTTCCCAAGCTGTTTCATAGTACACCAACTGTTTCGATGTTAGTTTGGTACCACCTGTAACAATTCTTGCTGCTTCTAGTTGTAAGTTTTTCAGAGATGTTTTTAAATAGTCAGGTATGTTATCCCAGATAATGTCTCCATTCTCTAATACTGGACGTATAACAGATAATTAAATATTTTCTAAATTTGTCCTTTTAAGTTTAAACTTTAGCTTTCGGAATAATGCTAATCTTGGAATAGCTTTATCAATACTCATTTTTACATGATTGTTCCAGCTTCGATCTTCGTTTATAAAAACCCCTAAATGCTTGTGTGACTCAACTTCCTTTATGATATTATTGTTCATATCCACTGGTGGAAAATGAGGTTTATGGTGCTTTTTTGAAATGGTCATTATTTCTGTTTTGTGTTGGGTGAAATTGACAAGCCATTGCTGATACCAATTCTGTTATTTCTCAATAGCTTTAGTTAGCTTTTCTGCCGCTTCATATTCGTTATCTAACATTATATAAATTGAAGTGTCGTCAGCAAAAAGTATAATACCACATTCTACATCATTGACTATGTCATTTATATAAATCGGAAATAAAATAGGACCCAAGATATACCCTTGGGGTACCCCAGCTGAGACGTTTCTCCACCAATGACAACATGTTGCCTTCCTGTTTTTAAATAGCTTTCAAACCAAAGTAGCAATGTTCCATTAGTTCCGATTTTTGTAAGCTTATGACGTAAGCCTTTATGCCAAACTTGCAGAAAATTACCCTTACCTTTTTTCCTGCTTCTAATGCTTTACCAAAATCGTTAATTATACATAGCAGTTGGTTTACCGTCGAATCAACAGGGATAAAACCTGAATGGAATTTTGTCAATTCAGAATTTGTGATAATAAAGTTAAAAAGGTATTTAAAAAAAAAAACCACCTATCCATTGTCCTACCAATGTTCTACAGCAAAGCTATTTGTCTATAATTAAGTAAAAATTCTGGGCAACCCTTTTTTTTTAGCTTTTGAAATATCAAGATTGACGAGCACATCTTCAACATCCTGCTCACTTATAATCAGTTCCTTTAGGTTTTTAATTACATCATATTCTAATATTTAACTTTGTCGTAATCATGGTAGTCAATTTTTATATGTTGGTTATTGAAAATTCTGTTTAGGATTGCAGATCTCTTTTCTTTTATCTTTTAGTCATTATAGAACTAATGCTCAATAACTATATGTATATGCTTATTAATTGATTCAAATCTTATTGAGTTTTTTAGTCTGTCAGTACGAACATTAATATAACACTTTACATGCTTTATGAATTTTATGAATACAATTTGATCAGACCATGTTTAGAAATGTTTAGAGTATTCAGTATTTGTTATTCACCTGTTCCCATCATCAGCATACATGTTTATTGAGCTACTTTACAGTCCTGAATTGATGGCAGGAAACAAATCTCTTAACAGTACTCCAATTACCGCACTGAATAAGTTAGGCTTAAATGTGTTATAACGACCATAGAAGACTAAAATATTCACTACTTTGAACACTTACGAAAGACTTATGACAAAAAGTACCGATTTAAGAATATTCCAATGTACTTAAACTTAGTTAAAAGTTAATTACACCTTTTACATAAATGAAGTTTAACATACTTAAATCAGCATACATCCAGCGGATTTAGTGTGAGAAATGTTATAACAGTCCGAGAGAAAAAAAACTTTTGTAAAGCCAACATATAATTATCGACAATGTATAGGACAATAAGGGTAATAACAGTATAGCAATATATATATATATATATATATATTCAATCAAAATAATCTACCTAAGCTGTATTTGGCAAAACTTTTAAGAATTGTTGTCCTCAATGCTCTTCAAATTCGTTCTTCATTTGGCCTTTTTAACTTATTTGATTCGAGCGTCAATGATTAGTATTTTGTAGACGAAACGCGCGTCTGGTGCAAATACAAAATTTCAATTATCGCATCTATAATTAGTTTGTTTTTATCGCTATGTTTATAATGATAATATCAATCAAAACATATACAATAGATTCAGCTTTAAGATGTCATAAACAGTTTTAAAAACATGCAATAATATAAATATCAATAGTAAGTGTTCATAACTTGTTTTGTATTAATATTCTTTATGCTTAAATTTGTTTATAACGGAATCAATGTCAATACCAATGAATTAACCAATATTCTCCTAGTGTTAAATTTAAAAACCTATCGGATGTTAAAGTAGGGTGCGGACCAAGCATTACATAAAGTAAATGCACGTTAACACCGCGTGCACATATTTCGTTAGTTAACTTCCATTTTCGCGTTCACTAGTAAACGCGCGTTTACTATTTTTACGTTAACGCGGTCAAAGTTGAAATGTGTAATGTCTACCCTAGTTTACTCTTTGTTTAACTTTGACGAGTTCAGAAACAGAATTTTAAACATGTTAAAGGATCAATAAGTTTACATAGATCGTATGTGAATTAATAGGTTATATAAACAACTCCACGTGAATGATAGTATGTGATATCTCGTTTGTAATAAGTTTTCTTCAAGTGCAAACAAACTTCTTAAGCAATTATTTGTATCATGTAAATAATTTTATAAGTTTTTGAGCTATTTGCGAAATTCCTGACTTAAATTTACGAGTGATACATACATTAGATATATTGGCATCTATAACGTCAAAACAGACACAGGCATATCGAACTGATATGAATACATAAACAACGTCAGATGAGACCAAACTAATACCTCACACACTATCATTATAGGTTTATTAGCTATTCAAAATCTATGATGCTCAGTCTTTTGTTTTCTCTGTAGTGTTGTGTTAACTATAGTTTGTCGCTTCTCATTTTTAAATTGTTTTGACGATTGCCGACTTTGGAATTTTGATTGTCCTTCAGATATACTCGCTTTTTTATTATAGGTTCTTGTATTTTGTAAATAAATGTTGTAATTTGACCGCGAATATCATAGAAGGGGTATTTATTGTAGAAATGCGCATCTGGTGAAGCTATATCTATACTATTGATATCAAATGTATAATAAACCACAAGTAACGAGACACACATCATATTATGTTCATATACGTGTGACTGTTATATTGCTGGTTACGTTTTATACACAAAGACATTTTAGGCAAACTCTTAGCAATCCAAGAGTTGTGTAAACCTATCATGTTTGACCTCAGTATTATCGTAGAATATTTTTTACGAGTATACTTATATAGGTAGTAGCCAGAAAGATGTCCTCTTCATTTGCACCAAGTGATATATCACGTCAACAAAACTAAATGATATGTGGAATAGAAAGATCTCACAATAAGTACAAAAGTAAAAATCAAATGACGACAATGTAAGCAATTAAATTATTCAACGATACGCACAACCCATACTGTATAGAAAGCTATTAAATACACGACATGTCACATGTCATACAACTCAAAACGGGGAAACCGACAGCTTGAGTTATAGAAGCACAACATTGTTGGAAGTTTCAGTTTTAATGCTCTTTAGCTTTGCATTTGTTTAGCCTTTCAAATGATTTAATTCGAGAGTCACTGCGCGTATGGCGTACTAAATTATTATCCCGGTGTATTCATGTTCTTACAACCATTAGGTAGATTATGGATGTTTTTTCCCCGAGTGTAACATCAGCCCAGAAGTCAGAACTTGTGTGTCGGCGTGACACAGATATGATTGGTTTATTGAAAGTAAAAAAACAATTTATAAAAGATTGAATTATTTGAAACACCCATGTTTGTCTTCCAAACTCGCATAGATTGCCTTTGCTGACAAAAATTTTCAAAATGTTTGTTTTATTGTGACTTTTTAATTACCTTCATACCTACATTATACAGCACAAACGACTACCACTAAATTACAGGCGCCTGATTGGGGACGGGTACAAACAATGTGACGGGAGTAAACTAGTTTGTGGGCATGAATCCTTCCTTAAACTGGGAAAGAGGTGTAACAATACAACATAAGAACAAACTATATAAATCAGTTGCAAAAAGGCTTAACTCAATTTAATTATTGCAAGTGCATTCAGTCAGCCATTGAGGTCCGCGTGTTGATGAAATAAGCACGTTAACATGTTCCATTATTAACCCAGCGGCACTGCCATCCTTCTCTTCGGCACAATGCCTTCTTGGCAAGGCAGATGGTACCGTCATTTGTATTGAAAGGATCATATTTGCAATCTTTTGAGTCCGGACTAATTTTCTGAAAACAGAAAGCGTATGTTTTACTGACAATATATGCTCCAACTTGCTGACATATCATTATCTATTGGAGATACCATGAATATGCTAGTTGCGCAAAACAATATGGTCTGCGATACACGAGTGTATAAAACAAATGCTGTAATGAAGTGTTTCTCAGTCTGAATATGCCTTTATGGAGTTTTTGTTTTTCCGAACGACAGGTCATTCTTTTAAAGAAACAACATGGACGATACAACGTTTCAATGAAATGTTCCAAGGTGTGAATTAATTACTTATGTCGGGTCATTATTTCCCCTCATTTAAATGCATAACAACAGATTACTAAAACATTTAATCCGAGTGATGTTGCCAATTTGGTTGTATTTTAATTTTTTTAAATTGACCACCTTAAAAACATTTAGGCAGAAATTATTTTTTCCTCTGTGTATGAGACTAAAATTTCGTTAACAGTTGTTATAATAATCTGCTTTTCCACGATACTAATGCCATGAAACAAGAGAAGAAACACAGCACCCTTTTTATATAGATTATATGATAAATTACTTACAAATTGACTTGTATTTTTGGTACGTTTTAACAATTCAATTAATTCTTACTTCATGCATTTACATTGTACTATATATACCATTTATATTGTAACTGGACAAAGATTTGTAACGTTTATACATGTATCTAGATCAATTAATGAGTTTTTATTATTTCACATTGAAAATGAGCTGTGAAGATGTTTTATACCTAAATCTTGTGAAAGAATATCCTACTTCAAAGTGATTGGTAAAATAGGATACAATTCTTGGATATCCAAAAAAAAATATTTTTTGACGGTATATCATCATGACATGTGTATGACATGTATAAGTCTGATTTTGCATATTCTAAGATGTTGCTTATTGTATTACACACATCTTGGTGTCAGAATTGCCCGAAGAAAAATATAATGAAATGGGTTTTATCATTTATTGAATTCTTCAGATGCAATGATGATTGCTGTCTTCAAAATAGTACGATGCATATGAAATAATTGTCAAATTAAATTATATCCTTAGTAGACATATTTTGTATAAAACAGATACTATAATGTTACTTCCTTTTTTGTACGATTTTAATCGTTGTTGTTTGGTTTGGCCATAGGAAACTACGATATCGTCATTTGAAAAACCGCACAACACTGATGTGAATTGAAAGAATCAAAATCTTCAATTTTGTTGATACAAAAAAATGTATTAAAAATAAAACACGCAGACGACGTAACATGTTAATGTACGTTTGTGTTTCTGATGTTCAAAATATTTTGTTTTTTGGTCATTAATGTATACATGGTAGGGCAGAAAATTTTATATAACAAAATGATGGAACATTGTCTTCAGTAAATGAAGAATATGAATCCTTCTGCTAAAGTAGGAAAACTTGCAGACATTTTCAGATTTATCCGAGCAATGACCACAGCTTGAAATCTTTTTTATAATACACATGCACTTATATCATACCATAAATCAGCTATTATGGCTAGTTCTAAACGGTATAGTATTTTTTTTTGTTGGAATTTATGTTTCTGTTTTATTATTGCTTAACAGACGTTTAAGAAGTCACTGATTTTCTTGTAAGGGCATTTGTTTTTTCGTGTAAAAATATATTCATCAATGATGATCAAGATTTAAAAACAAAAATGGTTGGGACATAAAACATAAAACAACCTTACATTTTTTGTACATAAAATAGGCCGTTAGTTTTCTTGTTTGAATTGTTTTACATTGTCATTTCGGGGCCTTTTATAGCTGACAATGCGATATGGGCTTTTCTCATTGTTGAAGGCCGTACGGTGACATATAGTTGTTGATTTCAGTGTCATTTGGCCTCTTGTGGAGAGTTATCTCATTGGCAATCATACCACATCGTCTTTATATAGGCTGTCCCCAACACATATTCATAACCTGAGTCATGTGTGTGCTAAGATACAATGTACAGAAAATATCTCGAGGTTGTCCGCAATGAACAAAATGCTATTAATAAGTTAACTAGAAATGTCAAAGATTTCGGTAATAAAACCAAGTTATCTTAGTCATATTAGTAATAATACATATTAAAATATGACGTATGATAACAAGAAACGGAATTAAAAAAAAATGTTTGTATAAATATGCAAATCCAGGCAGGCTCAGTACTATAAATGTTATTACCAATTCATGAGAAAACCCAAGGTAAAAAATGGCAAAAAGAACTTAAATACAAACATGTTGAAGACCGTACTTTGACCTATATATGATATACTTGTTTACTTTTTATAAATTGTGACTTGGGTGAAGAGTTGTCTCATTGGCACTCATACCACATCTTCGTATATTTATATTAGCTTAATATTGTAACACATACGCATCTTTTTTTACAATTACGTCTGTATGAATAAGAACCTCTTGTAAACAGGTAAAACGATTGATATGGTGACAGATTGCTGAGTTGACTGATGAAATCACACGAAGCTATGGTTTTCGTTCCATCAGGTTTTTTTGCACCTTTATGAAAAAGAAAATAGAAATTATTTGCTGATTTTCTAAATATATAAATATGCCATTTGATAAAAAAAGGAATGACTAATCCTTCATGTGATTCTTCTTTAATCTCTTCTTTCTGTGGTGTTTGGTCTTCCGAAGGAACTTCCTCCTTTGACTTTTTTTTTATAACTGTTCAAATGTGAACTTATGACTTAATGTTATAATTACACCAACATTGTTATCAATATATACCCATGTTGTGGGTATGAGTACATTGTATTCCTAAAAAGTATAAAATTTCATTTGCAAAATATGCACTTTGCCAGAGATGTTCAATTCAGGACGGTTCATATTAGCCTGATAATTACCAAAATCATTAAAAAAACAACAACGTGACTACCGACCGATCTAAAGCCTTATTATATTGTTAAGCACGTTAAAACACCAACTAACTGAACAACATGATTATTTCTGTTGTGTCATGAGTGATAACCCTGAAAGAGTTTATTCCATATCGCTTAAAACCATTTTATTATTTTAATTATATGTTGTATTTATAAGTCCACGTTACAGGGTATTATGTACTAGTGTATAACTATTGATATGTACCATACAGTATATTTACCCATTAAGATATACGACTTTCCGACATTAAAGCGTACTCCGCAGAGCGCACCATTTCCTGCTGTCTCTATAACAATATTTTGTCCAACTCCTTCGCTCACTCCCTGTATTATAAAATGAATATATAAATCAGGAAATGTATATCTACATGTTATACATAAAAGTTACTAGGGAACACATGTATTTTTTCTTAGTCAAAACATGGTTATGTTTAATTTGATTGATTAAAAAGGAGTAAGGTATTACCTATTTGGGTGATAATAATCCCTCAATAATAGTTAACTTAGTATTAAGTGTCTATCGAATTGTTCTCTTTACAAACATTAGAATATTTCTCAGGGAAAATACTATAATTTTTATTTATTTGGCTGGTGTAATAATTCAAAAGTGATGTTGTTTGCTGATGCCAATGTTATTTTGGTACATAAAGGGTACAGTATTATATTTTTGTTTAATAGTCGATCTAAATGACACAAATCTGGATCATGAATAAAAACTGATGAAAACATATCCAGTGTAAGATAAAAATCACGGAACAACATTAACACTGAACTTGTACAAAACAAACGCCAAAATACATAGAAACAAACTACAACTGTCATATTCGTCACTGCGTACATAACATTTAAAAAAAAACAAACAAATGAGATAGGTTGAATTTTTTTTTATGGCTCGCCAAACCTCCCGCTTATATGACAATGTTTAAAATACTGCTAAAATGAAGAAAAAAAAATACCTGACAGGAATACATACAACTAAACGCAAGAACACTTAGGATAGAGACACACATAAATAAATAATATATTAGTACATTAAAAAAATGTTAACCACAGAAAAACAACGGACACCTCCTATTGACACCACAAAACATTATGAAGTGTGCGTCAAAAGAATACATCAAACCCACAAAAGTGACGTCACAAAAATAGAAAAAAGAATATAAACGTGACGTGTTGATAATGAAGACTACCATTTTCAATGATTTCAAATGCAACAGTTCATTGTCTATACTGTTGTATATCCTAAATCACGGATTTAATCAAATACCATCAATGCTATCGATCAAGTCGAATGTATGCAAGTAACACCAACTTAAATTTGAAAACCATGATAAGGCAATTGATAAGCAAATTTGTAGTTATTTGCCTTGTTTATTATATAAGAGTTTAAATGCCAGCAGAAAAAAAACATAAAATCAAACCATAAAACAAACAAAAAAACAAAAAAAAAACTATGATAATTGCTTTTTACTATTAGTTAGCATGGTTAGAATGAAGATTTTTGGCAAAATATATATTAAGTAGTTCCCTCGAGCTCGTTAACGACAAGTAATATAACAGTTTTTATGAGAAATACAGAATACACTTCTATTATTCTTTACCTATAGTTTGATTTAACATCTATGCTATGCGTTCTGTGGTGGAGAGTTTGTGTCTTGGGCAGTCATACCACATATTTTTTGTACATACTCCAGGTACACATACAATGAATTTGAATTTTGAAAATCATTTAGATACTGATACTTACTTTCATTTTGAAAATAATTTTAAAGGTATATTCCCAAATCGCGTCATTATTGTTAACATCATTAGCTGGACCTGGTATAAGTTTCTCCTTGATAACTTTGCCATAGAAAACTGAAAGAACATACGATATTGTAAAACACGCTATGATTTTGTTAAATAATACACGAAGTTATCATATACTTAAAGTTAATAACTCATAATTTTACAATATGATACCAGCATTACATTTACGTGAATTCAGTATTTTTCGAAGTAGTGCTTAAAAGCATGATATAAAATATTTATCAACTGCTTCCAGATATTGTCGCATGTCTAACCTAACGTTATCTCATGGCATTTCGACGTGAATCGACAAATTCCGAAAAAAACACCTCAATGGTACGTTTTCAGTGAAGTAGGGTACAAAACAAATATAAGGAAACAGGAAACGATATGTTTTGTTGATTTTTTCATCGTCAGTATTGACAATATATTATACTTTTGTCCTCTGCTGATGTTATACACATAGCATCCGTAGTCCGTAAACATTTAACTTTTTGAACTTCTATTTGAGAACCACTCAAACATGTGAAACGGATCAATATATTAAACTGTTACATGTATGTTTCTGCATTGTTGAAGCATATTATGAAAATATCATAACATGGCAATTTTCATTTCGGAAATATATAGTATCAGCCCTCGGTTAATACCAGCCATATGTCAATACCAGCCATGGAACCTTCGGATCCAAGGTTGATATTATAACAGATATGAAAATGACATGTAATAATCTTTTGAATAATACATAATTATATAAAAAATACAGACAAATAACACAGAAAAAACAGAATACGCCATGTCTTTTGTTCATCTATTTCGGGATTAACAAATAGTTGAATGTTCAACAAATTCATAAAACATCTCTAAGATATGAAAACTTGTTTATGTATACATGTCAGAATTAATCCTGTATAAACTGGAACATGTGCTTGCTTAAGTATCAAAATTCTTTAGTTTTAAGTTGTTTTTTTATTGAATATTTGATATGAACTTCTAGCTTTCTTAATCTATATTGAATGATGCAAAACGGCGTATGCCAAATATATAATTTAAGTTGAATTTCTAATATATATGTTCATATCTGAGAACGGCATACAAACATCATTAATAACACTGACGTGTCAAGTATTCTTCAGCATGTTCTTTTATTAATAAAACAATGTAAATCCCCCACAAAAAACCTGTTCAGCGACGAAAGCAATTAAATAAAGAAATTGTTTGTTTTTTATGTCTCCGAATGTACGAGCTAAAACACACGAGGTAAGAACGACTTTAAAACGATAATACAATTTACAATATGTCATTTAGTCTATTTTAACTAAGTTATATAAATCAGTTTTTTGAAATTTGTATATTGTTTGGTAATTAATACAACTCACTCTTTAAATATTTAATTTACAACCAGCAACCTTCAAAGGGCCCCCAAAACCACTAGTGTAAAACCATTCAAAAAAAAAATGGAAAGTCATTTACTATGAAAATTAGAAGTGAAATTTGTTACTCACAATGGACGGGAAGAGCTGAGTATGTTCTTGATTAAGCTGTAAAGCTCGTAGAATAGTGTTCTCATAAAATAATGTGCTGTTCAAAATACTGTTTAATGATAATAAATAATTGTGATTCGTTAATTGCTTTGACATAAATGATGCCTATGTTTTTTGTCATTTGAATTTGTTTACATTTTGTCACGTCAAGGTTTTTCATGAAAGTTGGCATATAGTTGCGTACATCCAGGTCATTGAACTCTGGTGGATATTTATAACATTGCATATCATACTTGATCGCTTTATTACTATAAGATAATTTTCAGCTTATAAACATTCACTGCTTACATGATCAATACATACTACAATTGTGTCAAATCAATAGCCACAGATTTTTTACTATAAAACTAAACATATACATATTTACATAAAGTTGTATGCAATCATAAGTGTTAAGTATGTATGTTGTTTCATACATTAATGTTCGACAATTATGTACGGGTCTAATATTGTCATGATAAGTTCACCAATATACAGTTTAACTGATATGGTGTATTACAGTAATTGCGGATTTACATTGTAGATAACTTTGATTTATGAGTTCAATTATCATCTTGGTATATATCAAATTGCTTTTACATTATAAGTGGTATTGGTATGTCAAATAAATAACTAGCAGTGGTAACCTTAGTCGTTGAAATATATCAAAAAGACATTCAAACTCAAGAGTCGAATTTTACAATGTAGTTAAATCAAAAATTAATATGGAAACAAATTTGTAAGGAATGAAATATTCTCTCAAAAAGAAACATTACATAAAACATAATATACTTTAGCTCAAATGTTCAACATTATTTTTGATACAGACATATCAAAGGAATACACATCTCATTACACAGAAATTTAGTTCAATAGTTAATCAAACATTTAAATTACACAAAACGTCAAAATGTACCACATTTGAGTCCATAGCATTTAAATGACCTCACTATAAAGCAGATATATGTTATACGCACCGTAAGCCTACAACACAGAACAGACCCTATCAAACGACAAATATACGGTCCTGCAGAGTTCTCTCTATATTATATGCGAAACATGATGACGACTTTGTGCGCGTCTGTCCTTTTTTAATTCATCCCCACGTGTTTCTCTAAGTTCAAATCTGTTAATATGTTAATTTTGATATCCATGAAGAAACTGTTACTTTATAAATGGCTAGAAGTCATAAGAAGCACTAGCTGTGTGCCACTTATCATTGTGATGCTGAAAAATGTCCCGTTTGAGTTTCATAACCAGCAACATATGTGGTGACTTAAGATCATCTTTGTACTGATTGCCGTTAAGGTTGCCGGGAATTTGCATCAACAAATTCCATGCACTAACATTGTACACCTCAAGGACCTTGAGCAGTTTTTTTCCTCAGCCTGTCTTTGCTTGTATTCGTCGGAGAGCTTAGACAAATTATGTTGTTTCTGATGGTCTCACGATCAGATTGCTCATGTGAAGCACCTGGATGAAGTGCGGCTAGGTTAGACAAAAGATTTACTGTTGATGGTTGAACCAAATTGCTGGTACTGTTGCAACAGTCTGGAAGACGATGCACGGTTCAACAGCATTAATTATAGCGATAAAATTTTTATTCACCAGTCTGAAAACGAATAATCGCGACTTTCAAGGTAGCAGTATATATGCTGTGCACATCATATAAGGTAAGATAGAAAATTTATTGACTGAATTTAATTAACTGTTACATATTTTTCTTAAAGATTACATAAATAAGACATGATTTGCGTGTTGTACCGTCTTAATTATTCCTGTTCGCCTTTCTCGAGCTTCAGTCTGCATGCTAACCTGAAAAGGTCACAAGTGATCAACAGCTGAGATCAGTACTTTGAATAAAACCACTGACATTTAAACATAATCACGTTTTCATGTCTCAGTCAGATTAAAAAAATTTAAATCATATTCTTTAATAAGATTTCGGTTGTTGTGTTTCTTTTTGATGAAAGTATAATTTGTTCAGACGAAGTGGTAGAGTTCAAACAAATCACTTCATTTGTAATTGATTAATGAAAAATCTTTCGTTTCTATTCAACTTAAAACTTAACTTACAAAAGGCTTGTTCGACACACATGTTACACGCAAACATTTCAATCACGGGCCTTGATATACTAAGACTTACCATGTCCAGCCTTGCAGAATTTATCTTGTGGGTGCTTAACACCAGCACACGAACAACTGTGTACACTATGTGTCATCCATACTAGAACAATTATCAGTTGTAGTACTTTCGAAACCATCCTAACTGATTATTTCTCTATTGATATACAATACAACATATATAAGGGAATCTGGTTCCTTTATCTCTCAATATTTGTGTTTTTTACCAATGAAAATCAGGGGATAATAGCTTGGGTAATTAACACACTAAAAGCTCAAACAGAGATATTATCTATGTCCAAACAAACGCTACTTAAACGTAATCATATTGCACGATTTAGTTTGATGTTCGGCTGTACAGCACGAGCACACGTGAATAAATGGCACACATGTTTCACAAAAATAACCCTTCACTGACCTCTTAACACCTAGTTATATTGTAATTTAACATGTAGGATAATATTAAATCAACTGCAATAATTGTGGAAGATTTGTTCAATGGACAACAATATTCATAGGGATTTTTATCATAAATAAATATTAATTGTGAAAATAACTATGAAGTACAATTCATATTTAACATTTTAAATCGTTTACCACTACAACTTTATTAATACTTAAGGTTTGCATTTAGTCATGTTGTTTTCTTAACATATTGCCAACTATGTACATACGCTATGACATAAGGGCTTTAGTTTTGAAAATGTATACATAACTGCCTTTTATTCACACAGATTTGCTCATTTGTTATTTGCTATAAGTTAACTCATCATAGATACCAGGATCAAAATTTTATATCTACGCCAGACGTGCGTTTTGTCTACAATAGACTCATCAGTGACGCTCGAAAAAAAAATGTTAAAAAGGCCAAATAAAGTACGAAGTTGAAGAGCATTGAGGACCAAAAATTCCTAAAAGTTTTGCCAAATACAGCTAAGGTAATCTATTCCTGAGGTAGAAAAGCCTTAGTATTTCACAAATTCAAAGTTTTGTTAAAAGTTAATTTATAATTATGAACATATCTATGATAACTCAAGTCAACACAAAAGTGCTGACTACTGGGCTGGTGATACTCTCGGGGAATTAAAACTCCACCAGCAGTGGCATCGACCCAGTGGTTGTAAATAAACTCATCATAGATACCAGTATAAGATTATTTGTTCGGCAACGTTCGTTTTCCAGTTTGAAGACATGAACTGACTCTTTGTTTATACAGTGTTTAATTCCATTAAAAATTTCTTTGTCTGGCTTGTATTTTGAAGATCTCTCAAAATCTGTTCTTGATACATATAAATTTTGATACTGACTTTATTTGCAGGAATATCAAGCAAGTACTAGCAAATACAACGATAAATTATTCTTTTCATTGGATACTTATCTGATGGATTTATGGATTTGTTTTTTTTTTTAACATTTTAAACATATGCAATAATTGAAACGTTGGTTAACTGTTTAAATGCAGAAACGAAATTGCGCGTATTTTATTGGTATATTGACGCAGAGGGACATGCACACGTGACGTTGTTGTACTGATACATGACGTCAACGGTAATTGTTTCTAGTATCAGGTTCTGTTCATGATCTAAGGAATTTGAGGTCGAAATTTCAAAGGGAAAATGTACACATTGCCGATAAATATCATACATTGCCATTCAAATTAAACATGTGTAGGTCATGTCGTAGGAATTACTGTTAACAAACTTGAAGACGAAAACGTGAAAATACCAAAGTTGTAAAAGTAACTTAAGGCACCCATGATTTTAGTCTAACACAAAGGCTTCAACTTTTACGAACACGTGTTTCCCAACTTCGTTATAAGTTATTGGAATATTTGTCTCTCTAAGATGTAATATTTGTTTTTAAATATTCGTATAAAGTTTGAATGAAAACAGTATCAAAATATCATCTACCTGCTTATATCAAAGACTGTTTGTACTAATGATTATTTTAGTATTGATATTGTAAATAATTTAATTGTCATACTTCACATATTGTATTTACTGTTAAAAAAACAGTATGTTGTCACGATTTGCTGATCTTGTTAACAAGTACTTGTAAAAAAGTAGCCATGTATAAATTATATTCATAAGCTCATTATATATAAAATATTGATGATTGAACTGTGTTTTCCTCGATAAACCACATAAACTGTTAACATATTTATTAATCAAATTTTTTTTAATGGTTGATGCATTCGTGTGACAGACACACTATTCGTAATTCTATTAAGCTGCTTTTGTGTAATGTCCTAACTTGATGTTAGTTATTCGTTGTTATTCTGTGGTTAACATGTCGAAATGTACTATTATATTATTTATTTATGTATTTCTCTGTTTTCGGTGTTCTTAGATATAAGAAGATGTGGTATGAGTGCCATTGAGAGACTGTCCCAGGTTATGGGAAGGTTGGGATCCCGCTAACATGTTTAATCCCGCCACATTCTGTATGTATGTGCCTATCCCAAGTCAGGAGCCTGTAATTCAGTGGTTGTCGTTTGTTGATGTGTAACATATTTGTTTTGCGTTTGTTTTTTGTACATAAATTAGGCCGTTAGTTTTCTCGTTTCAATTGTTTTACATTAAATTTTTTGTCATTTGCCTTTTATAGCTGACTATGTGGAATTGGCTTTGCTCATTGTTGAAGGCCGTACGGTGACCTAAAATTGTTAATTTCTGTGTCATTTGGTCTCATGTGGAGAGTTGTCTCATTGGAAATCATTCCACATCTTCTTTTTTTTATATATATCTCCATCCATGTCACAATTAATAAAAGTAAACCATTATACGTCAAAATACGGTCTTCAGCACGGAGCCTTGACTCACACCGAACAGCAAGCTATAAAGGGCCCAAACATTACAAGTGTAAAACCATTCAAGCGGGAAAACCCAACGGTATAATCTATATAAAAAACGAGAAACGAGAAACACTTATGAATCACAACAACAAACGACAACTACTGAACATCAGATTCCTGACTTAGGACAAGTACAAACAATTGCCGCGGGTTTAAACGTTTTATTAATACAAAACCTTCACCCTTATCTGAAACAATAGTGTAACATCACAACATTGAAAGAAACACTTTAAAAAATTAATTGAAATGGCTTAATCAAACGACATATTAACATAAGTGAATATACACTGAACGAATAAATTTGATATATGATACAATGTAAATACAAAATCAATAAAATAAGGGATGCATAATTAAAGTAACAGTATTATACCGCTGTGAAATGTTAAACAATTTCAGACAAAAACATAGAACATTGAACAAAAATCCGCCATTTACAATAACTTTATACACAGGTAAATTAAAATAATTTTGTTGTTAGGTATATACAGTTTAAATGGAGAAAGTAAATATTTTCACAAAATAGATAATTTTCATAGTACGAAGAAGTGAAAATTATAGTAATACGAAACACTTATCAAAGCTGGTATATAGAACAAATATAACCCTGAAAAAGTAAACATTAAATAACAAAACAAAAGCTTTACAAATAGTATCAACAGGTCAAGTTAACAAGAAAATACGAGTTGAGAGTCCTCGCAGTTACTGACAGCTAGTACAAATCCATTTATTTGTACTGTATTTCTGTCATGTAATGTTGTCATTTTAGCGGTATTTTTAACGTTGCCATAAAGCATGGACGTTTGGCTAGCCACAAAACCAGGTTCAACCCACCATTTTTCTTAAAAAATCCTGTACCAAGTCAGGAATATAACAGTTTTTATCTAAATGTTCGTTTCTGTGTATGTTGCATTGTCGTTTGTTTTTGTTGCACTTCAGTGTTCTCTTGTTTCGTTGTTTTCCTCTTATACTTGACGTGTTTCCCTCGGTTTATGTTTGTAACCCGGATTTGTTTTCTCTCAATCGATTTATGGCATTTGAACAGCGGAATACTACTGTTGCCTTTATTCATATAAAGAGTAAAAATTTACAATGTTATATCTTAGTTTAAACTAGAAAAAAGTAGAAATTAGAGTGAATAAACCTCATTAATAAAACCTAATTAGTCTCTATCAGTGCTGTTGTACTTGTAATCGGATGTGTACTTACATGAGAACATGACATGTGCCACAAGTGGAGCTGGATCTAACCTGCCTTTCCGGAGTACCTGCAATTACATTCAGATTTTGATGGGTTCATGTTGTATGGCTTTAGTTTTCTTTGTTTGTAAATTGTATACAGTTGTACGTGTTTTAGTTTCTTTTTTTTTTTTGGCATGTCATTTTCAGTTCATCTTTGACTAATCAGTATGAATGTAGCTTTTATATCTTTCGACTCCCTTTTTCATTGTATGTAGGCCTTAGTTTTCTCTTATTTATTTTAATTTTTTTGCGCGATTAATATGGTATCTTTGATGAGATCTTAAACAGTTTGGTTTATCATACTGACTTTAACACCGTTCAGACTGTACGTAATCTGCAATAAAATTGAGAATTGAAATAGGGAATGTGTCAAAGAGACAACAACCCGAAAAAAGAGCAGACAACAGCCGAAGATCACCAATGGGTCTTCAATGCAGCGACAAACTCCCGCACCCGAAGGCGTGCTTCAGCTGGCCCCTAAACAAAAATGTAAACTAGTTCAATGATAATGGACGTCATATTAAACTCCGAAAAATACACAAGAATCTAAAATCAAAAATCATACAAGACTAACAAAGGCCAGAGGCTCCTGAACTGGGACAGGCGCAATAACGCGGCGGGACCAAAAAAAAATAGATTGCTTTGTGCATCACTCCTGAAGATGTTATATGACATCTCTCCAGAAGTACCAAAATATGTAAACTGTTGTATTCAATTGTCAAATCAAATTTTACCTCTTTGTTATGGAACTAACCAGGTAAGAAAACGAATATCTCTTTGAAATTGTTACTCAAACAGGTATATGCAATGCGGACAGTTAAAAACAATGAAGCAACAATGAATTTGAATGACTAATGTTATTTTAATTTTTGTCGCCTGGAATTGAAAGAACACTTTAAGAAAGCAATATATCTGTATATTAGGACAGAAAGGCTGAAACTGAAATTCGTTCACTAAATATCTGAAACTCAATCCACAGTTATTTATTAAAAAAAGTAATATTGTTAGTATTCAACAGTATGTGTGGGAAACCTTGTTCCGATTTTTATTCGATAAGTTTGCTAAAGTAACATAAAAGAGATGTGTTATGATTGCCAATGGGACATATATCTACCAAGGATCAACTATCGTG